GGGGGGGGGGGGGTGAAGAGCGAATAAAAGTAGAAAAAAAGCAGGACAATTGGGAAACTTTAACCACAACTTTTTTCTGAAACCACACAATAGCGAGAGAATCAATTGAAACGAACCTCAATTCGTCCCAAAATGAAATTCCACGTGTTTACACATTTGCCGGTTGTCGGTTGAATTGCACCATAGTGACACAACACGAATGTAAAAAGCCAGCGGCATACATGATTCCCTCATTTACACGTACATCCACTAAAAACAAGTGCACCATGTTATTTTAAAAGGTTTTCCAGACCGCTCATTTGAATATTTTTTTTCCATTAATCTGCAAATATAAATTACCAGAGTACCAGTATATTTGAACAAGGAAGTATGTGAGCAAAGGTGAAATATACAGAGCGTGATGAGTGGGTTAAAAAGCCCGTTGGCGCGTTTTGATGCAGTCTGGCTGGCGCGTCAGCCGCCGGCCGGCTTGATTTTCCGGCGGGACCTCATTGGAAATGAGCTTTTTGATGTCACGATGGTTAATACCGCTCTACAATCCCCTTGACTGTCCCTCTCTATCCAAGACCAACTGGACCGGTGAATGGGTGGGAGGTAGGTAAATTGAGAGGGAAAAAGTAGGGAGAAGAGAGATGTGCGCGTAAGGAAAATTCAATCCCCCCAGGAAGACGATGGAAGCGGTACTAGAAACACGCGGACTGACTGCCGACCGTTGCTGGATACTCGTGGGTAGTTCTGAATGTGTATGGCAATGGCAACGTGGTGGGGGAGGAGAGGGGATGGAAAAAGTAGGGGTATGAGGTGGTTGGAGGGTTCATGGAAGGGATGGTTGGACGGCTGGAGAAGCACTGGAAATACAGTCAGCCAGACAGGCACAAAAGGGTGGAGGTGAAAAGAGAATCAGTGACTGAGGGAGAGGGAGTGCACCTGCGGTGGACGGGGAGGGAAGGGGAGGGAAGTCGTAGTCGTCGTCGGCGTCGTCGTCGACGTGAAATCATACCGTTAGGTGGGGGGAAGGGGGTCCCTTAGGGGGGCACCAAAAGGAGGGGGTTAACAAGGGGGGGATAGGATCGAATGCGGCGCAGGTGCCAGTAGCAAGCGCACTGAACGCAAGCGCAATCCCCACGCGGATTGTGTTATGGATCGCCACAAAATTGGGATAGGATTTATCGAAAGGGTTGAACTAGTGCGTTACGAAGAGCGCGAGTCCTGTGTCGGGTTAAAGTGTAACATTGGGGTTTGAGGGACCGGGAGAGAGAAAGAGCGAGAGAGAGAGAGAGAGAGAGAGAGAGAGAGAGAGAGAG